TAAGAAATTGTGATAGAAACAAAGATAACTATAAGACCCGAAGAATATGTTTCAAAGGGTCTGGAAAAATTAATATCTCCAACTAAAATCAATTTAGAAAGATCATCATATCCATTTCCTCAAAGACTTAGACATCAAGAGTTGGATAAACAATTTTCAAAGTTCACGGAAGTACTTAAGAAGTTAACGATAAATATTCCTTTCGCCGAAGCTTTGGAACAGATGTCAAGTTATGCAAAATTTATGAAGAAGATATTAAAAAAAAAAGAAAATTTGAGGATTACGAGACAGTTGCACTAGTGAGGAGTACAACGCTATACTTCAGAAAAAGCTTTCTCAGAAACTTAAAGATCCTTATAGCTTTACAATTCTGGTACGTTCACTTTGGAGCCCAATTCTGGTACGTGCACTCTGGCTCCCAATTCTGGTACGTGCAGCGCTATACTTCAGAAAAGCTTCCTCAAAAAAATGTTCTGTGTATTGGACTTTCGTGCAATACTAAAACACTAAATAATAACTCTTTCATCCAAAATCTTCTAACACACATCAGTTTGGTGCATGTTGGCATCAATTTTTGATGTCACATGTGTAGGGTGTCCTCCTGACTGACTCGGGATGACTTGCTTCTTGTTCGTAGTGTCCTGTAGCTCAAGACGACATCAGAGACCTCCAGTACGTGCTTGGGGCACAAAACCATGGTTTGCGATGATTCGATCCCACTCGGGAGAACCCGTAGTTAGATCGACTCACCCAGAACATTGGGCATGTTTAATGTCTATTTTGGAGCTTAAAGGTCTCTCTATATCCATTTAGAAGCTCCTCTAGGTCAAGGGAAGTCAAGGATTCCTTCTACGCACTCTATAGGATACTAGTGTGTATAATGCCTTACTCACACCGTAGTACGAGGCGTTCTTTGGTGACAAATTCTTCAATCAATTAACTAGCAAATTATTCATTTTTGAGGTTAAGGGATCATAATTTACTCATATGTGGTTCTCATAGCTTTCAGATTGAGAAAATCGTTCTTCAGGCGCTCCCGATGTAATTCAGGTTTTCGGGGCTAGACTGGGTGCTTAGGTGCCCAAAATGCCCTCACGGATGGTCAAAACCGAGCCGCTGGAAGTATGACACCTGTTTCTGGTGTCTAGGCGCCCAAAACAACTCAAAACGTCCTTTTTTCTGAGAGACGGGACAGTAGGCGCCACATAGGTGGCGCCAAACCGGTCGCCATGGTCTCGGCGCCTAGGCACCGGCTCATTTCTAGATCACAAAAAAGCCTGTTTTTGGCGCCAAGTTGACCCCGGTGCACCCCCCAATGAGCCGGAATTACATATATCTCTTTGGGCTTGAAGAGATATGCATGGGGAGTGTTAAATCCATGGCATTAGCCTCATTTGGCATGTCCTAAATGCCCTCCATTAGCCATTTTTGGCTTAATCAAGGGGCACTTTTGGGATTTGCATGTGGAGGCTGGTTTAACTTCACCTCTCCTCATTGACTCATCTCCTCCTCATTCTCACTCCACCGTCAAGAATCTTCCGAAAAGCAACAAAGATAAACAAAATTGTTTGATGGAGCCATAAATGTGGGTTGTTAGAGATGGAAAGCTATAATCACTCATATGTATTGACTCGAGTAATTTCAATAGCATAATCCCAAGCATAAGTTTTAGAGTATCAGAAGATTAAGTAAACATAATCACAAACAGCACTACTCTACAAATTACAACTTCCTTATTTTTTACCAATTCTATTTTGAGTGGCCCCTCAAATCCTTTATGATAATGATATCAGCTTAAACAGCAAATAAAATGTTCACGTTAAAGTCCCAAGCTTTCCAATACATTTATGCTTACACGGTAGTAAAAACGCAAAGGAAAAACTTTAAAACTTAATGGAGACTATTGAATCAAGCCAGATTGCATAAGAAACTCGCACTCTCACCTATCTACATTTAACTGGTTGGAATAATAAGATATTTTAAAGAACTAAACAAGCAGGAAACAATAATGATGATCTCAATTGAGCTACTCAGCACTGTCATTTGCCTTTACTTGAAGAATGCATGAAGATGAACTGGTGCCCTCCTTCTCCGGCGAGGCAACAGATCCCCTGGAACTAAACTTCCAGAACTTCTGAATTCCTCTCCTTATTTCATCAGAATCCCACACACCACTTTGCCTCTCCTCATAATCTTCTTTATCAGAGTTGGAGACTGAGACAACTCTCCAGTTGCACCATACCCTTAGCATTATATACAGCATAATCAGGCAAACAATTACTGAACTAAAGACAATAGATGCTATAACGCAAGCAACAGCTGCATTGGACAATCTTTTCTGGTGATCTGTGTCTCCAGTGCACGAAGGTAAAGGAGCACCACATACTTTGTTGCCAAGGAAGGAGCTTGCTGAAAAATTTGATAACACGGAAGGAATTGGACCTTGGAGAAGATTGTTTGATAGGTTTAGCTGAAGGAGACTGGTCAACTGTCCGAGGGAAGGAGGAATCTCACCTTGAAGGTGATTGGAAGAAAGGTTTAATCTTTCAAGCTTCATGAGCTTCCCAAGTGAGAATGGAATCCTTCCAGATAGAAAGTTGTTGCTCAGATCCAGCATCACCTGAAGCTCAGTCAATTGCCCAAATTCAGCTGGTATGGAACCCGTTATAGAGTTCTCTGACAGTCTTAGATCAAATAGCATGTTGCAATATTTAATGGAGGAAGGTAAAGAGCCAGAGAAGTTGTTCTTTTCAAGAGCCAGAACATTGAGAGAAGTGAGCTTGCCTATCTCTTGAGGTATGCTGCCTGAAAGATTGTTATCATTGAGGAAGAGTTTGATTAAACTGGAGCATTGCCCGAGTTCTGCAGGCACGCTTCCATGGAAGTAATTGGAAGAAAGGTCAAGCTCACCTAGAGAAGTTAAGTTTCCCAACCAAGATGGTATTGTGCCTGTAAACTTGTTTTGATTCAGTAGCAAATGTGTTAGTTTCTTGCAGTTAGAGAGATCATAAGGGACTTCACCAGATAGATTATTAGATGAGAGTTCAAGGAAATTGAGCCAATTTAGCTCTCCTAATTCACTTGGAATGACACCACTTAGTTGATTGTAGGAGAGCCGCAGACGAGTTAGATTCTTTAATTCACCAATCCTTGGAGGAATAACTCCAGAAAAGCTGTTGTTTGTAAGGTCCAATAATGTCAGACTACTTGATCCCAACATTGGAATGATATTCCCTGTGAACTTGTTATGAGAGATATTTATGATTGTTAAATTCTTAAGTAGGAACAGATTCTCCATTATCGAGCCTTGCAGTGAATTGTTGTACAGACTGAGCATGTTCAGATCTGATAGAAGATATAAAGCTGTTGGTAGAGTTCCTGAGAGTTTGTTATCTCCTAGAGCCAATATCTGAAGCTTACTACAGTTCCCCAAACTTGAAGGTAAGGGGCCAGAGAGATCATTTTGTCTAAGATGAAGCCGAATAAGATTCCTGAGCTCACCAAATGAATCTGGAAGATGTCCTGAGAAATGATTTCCAAATAAATCCACATCCTCCAACCTAGAACAGTTCATCAGCTCTTCTGGTATGGTTCCAGACAACTGGTTTTCATAGAGGTACAAGAGAGTGAGCCTCTCAAGTTTACCCATTTGCACTGGAATGTTGTCAATGAGACCATTATGGAAGATAGACAAAATCTCTAGATTACTAAGGTTACCAATTTGCGTCGGTATTGCGCCAGAAAAGCTGTTGTTGTGGAGAACAAGGTTAACAAGGTTATGAAGAGTATCTATGTTTGATGGAATCACTCCACTAAATCTGTTTCCAGAGAGATCCAAGGATTGAAGAGAAGTGCAGTTCATGATGCTGTTCAAGGACTGAGAGAATCTATTCTCGGCAAGAAATAAGTTCTGCAGGCTAGAAGCCTGGGGGCAGAGATCCCCAGAGATTTCTCCCTCAAAAAAGTTGTTTGAAAGCACAAGATACTGCAAATTCTTGAGCTGGACCGTAGATAGGTGGACTGTACCAGAGAGACTATTTTGCGACAAATCTAAAACCTGCAGCTGTGACAACTGATTCAACTCCGAGGGAATGCTGCCACTTAACTTATTTCCCAGCAAATTCAGATACTGTAACTTCGAGAGGTCGCCAAGCTCCGAAGGAATGGATCCATGAAGCTGGTTGCTAGCCAAATTAAGAGTTTGCAATGACTTCATGTCTCCAAAAGCCGAAGGAATTTCTCCTTCCAGTCTGTTGTCTGCTGCAGCGAATACTTGGAGATGCTTCAGTTTGCTGAGTTGCCATGGAATAGCTCCACTTAATTGGCAAGAAGCTAAACGCAGTATCTCTAATCGTGAGCAGTTCGAAATATTTAGCGGAATCTTTCCTGATAGCTTGTTGGCTCCGATTCTGAGAACTCTGAGCTCTTTCAACAGCCCGAGCTCCGGCGGAATAGAACCAGAGAATGCATTGGAATACAGAAGCAACTCTCTCAAGTTCTTCAGATTCCCAATCTCTGGAGGAATCTGCCCGGTGAGTGAATTAGAAGACAAATCAAGAGACTGAAGAGCAATGAGTCCTCCAATCTCAGAACGAATGGAACCATATAGTCCTGAACCTGACAGGTTCAGACTCAAGATACGAGCATGATGACTTTTAGAGCATTTAACTCCATTCCAGTTGCAGAAATGAGCATCAAAAGACCAGCTTGAAAGAGCTCCCCGCGGGTCCACGAGCTCAGACTTTACTTGAAGAAGAAAGTTCGAATTTTGAGATGAATCTTCATGCGCAGTGGCGAATATAGTGCTCAGAACTGAGAACAGATTCAGCAGACAGAATTTAGCAATCCTGCTGACCTTAGTATTCATGTTAAATATGATTTGAAGGGATGGGAATTTGATGCATGAGGAAAGATGAAAATGGAGTTTATAATTGGTCAGCAGAGAACTCTGCTTTATCTGCAAAGATGTGGAGTTTGAAGATTTATTAAGAAATCCTACCTTTATGTTAGGCTTGAGCAGTTGAAAGTTGACAGATAATTTTGAAAGGTGATCACCAACCACTCTCTTGAGTGTTCAGTAGGATTGTTTTTTATCTCTAAAAAGTGGCCCGGGCTTGAAACTTTGTATAATAATAATAGGGGCCATTTACATCCATACCACTCAATTCCTATGTATTTACTTATCTAACAACAGCTAAATTCTATAAGAAAGATAATCAGCTTTACTTTTAAAAGTGAAATATATATTTTAATGCATGGATAAACTGGTATGTTTGTAATAGTTGAAATTTAGGTGTTGATAAATCTTTCTAATAATAATAATACTTAATAATGTGCTCTACCTTTTCATACTAGATCATATAAAGAAGAATGTCAAAAAGATGGAAATGATAGGACCTGAAAAGAATTTTAATGAAAAATGCAGTTCAGTCTCATCACTTGAGATTAGTATATTCGTTTGAGAATAAAAAGTGAAGCATAACAGATGACCAGAAATGAAGGAACCGAAATAGCTGGGCCACCGTAGCCACTACTTGAGAGGAGAAAATGAAGCAGGTTCGCTTTCAGTTCCTGCTGTCAAAAAACCAGAAACTTTGGCTCCTCTTTCTTGTCCAACATTCCTTGAAAAGAACCCCAAAATCATTGTAACAACTTTCCTTCTATTGGCTTTTGCCTGTCTTTCTTCTTCATTGTTTTTTATTTTTTGGGTATTGAGTGAACCCAAAATGTACGCGCGCTAATTATGTAGTCCCCAAGTATTTATGTGGAGCCAATTTAATAATTTTGGGGCAACTGCAGCTTATCTGTCTCAGGAAGCTGCTGCTGGGGAGTTGGCCGACTATTTGTTTTAGCTGATTGAAAACAGCTGTTTATAAACAAATAATCATTCTGCCCCTATTAGTAATACTGTTTTTAACAGAACTGTCATAGTCATATATTTAATACTTCAAAAGCAAAAATTTACTTGAAAACAATACAAAAATTAAGCGAATGAACTATTTTGACACTTTGCTCAATACCAAAGGTTTGATATTTATATTTATAATATTTTGGTATTTATAAACATATGCATGAAAAGAAGCATCTCTCTTTCAACATTTTGTGATAGTGATATTTTTTATATGAGAATAAAAATTTGAGTTTTATGTAAATATGAAGTTTTAGGTGTTATATACAAGCCTTTCTCTCTTCTTCTTTCCACCTTATGAATCCCATGTTACCTTTAATCATCTTGCAATCAAAGCAGGTTGCAAGAGAACAAGCATGGGTCCTGCACCAACTCTTGCTCCTTTCTCCAAATTTTCTCCTTCTTAAATACAATGTCTGGATAATTTTTATTTTTGGGCAATGAAAATAGTTTAAGGATCTTGTATAAAAGTTCGAAGGCATCACTTGTAATTCTTAATAGATCGTTTGCAGCCTTCTGTTTACTGTAGAAATCTTACATGCAATTAGCTTTATGTTTCCAAAGTTATTATTTATGAGCAAAATCTACATGCATACCATATAATTCTTATGTATTTACGTATCTAACAGTTAAATTTTGATATTTATATGCATTAAAATGTGTATTTCACTTTTAAAAAGTTAATAATAGTGATATTTTTAATATGTACGAGCGGTATGCGTTTGAATAGCAAAGTTGAGGTGTTAGAAATGTGAATATATATGAATTATATGGTATGTATGTAAAAAACTTTATTTATTATTACTATAATTTGAGCATTAGAAGTATTTGTTGGACATCCCGAACCATAAGCAAAATGGAGAGGCGAGGAACAGAGAAGAGAAATTTGCTACTAATTTTGTTCCTTCTTAATCCGAAGATCGTTCGAAAATTGATTTGAATTTTGATTTTGATCGTGATCAGATTGAAATAAATGAGAGGAGCTATGAGTCCAAATCATAGATCAAATTTTCAAGCCATACAAACATCAACTCGAACTGGCTTAAAATATGCTAAATAAAATTTTAGAATACACAAGTGGTATAATTTTTGTGTAATTTATTAGTATTTATTCATTTTAAGTACAATAAATCAAAAAGAGTAGGCTCATTTTGATTTTTGAGCTGGAACATACCCAAATAACTTTATTTGAGTCAGACCCGTTTCAATTTCGAGCCAGATAGAGCTCAATTCAATTTTGAGCTGAGCTGACTCATAATTAAATTTAACGGGTCAGTCCGCTTGACCAACTGCCCCAGATCATAGAAACATGGAGTAGATATGCATATATAATGAAATTTATCATGTCTGGAAGAAAATAAATTAGGGCAAAAGAAGGACTAGTGAGTTATTGTGTAGTGTTAGAAATTAGGAAGATTAACATACAGACCACTCAATTCCTATATATTTACATATCCAACCCATAAATTTCAATTTATTACATACCACGTCACCTATGCTTGACAATGTTTATTGCACATTTTAAAAGTAAAAATAATGATATTTTTTAATGTTATATGAAAGATTTGGGTGGTGTAAATATATATAAAAAAAAGTAAAATTTAGGTGTCAGATATGTAAATATGTAGGAATTGAGTGGTATGTATGTAAATACCACCAGAAAATTATAAAAGATTTGCCTCCTGCAAAAAACTAATGCATCAAACTTCTCATTAATTCGGCGAGATGAAGACTAGTTTGCTGAGAAATCCTTCTGAGACGCAAATTATTTCAAATGATTAATTCATTAATGCTGACTTTTGACTATCTAGAAATTCAGGTCATCATTTAGGTTTTTTTCTCTTAAAAAAAAAAAAAAAAGAAACAACAGTCAGAGGCTACTATACGAGGCTTCACCACCTCTAATATGCCTAGCAATTCAAGTACCACTTCTTTAAGGCCAATTATGCCAGAGGGAATTTGAACCTCCAACCTAGGAGGTCTTATACCGTGGATGTCAACCAACAGGATGGGATACGTGGCAAGGTCATCTTTTAGGCTTAATGACTGCATAAAATTATGTGATATACATAAGATTTCAAGAGAAGTTATCGTATAATTCTTATTTTATGTATAATTACATGGGACTTTCTTAACCACTAATTATGTTGACTTATTTTAATTGTCATTGTTATAGTCAAAATACATAACTAATTTGAGCACGGCTCAAATAATAAATGAGGGTTAGAAAGTCAAATCAGAATCTGGTTCGCCATCAGACCGACCGAACCAATTCTGACTTGCATAACTCACATAATATATGAATAATGATTATTTGGGTAAATTTTGAATCAAATTCGGGTTAATTTTAAGTTGACAGATAAGATTGAGACCAAATTTGGGTCAATATGTCCATTTTTAATCAATTTTGCATGTGGTTAATTTGAACTTAAACTTATAAATTAAACTAAGAGTCTGCTTGAGACTACTGCAGCTGTTTTAATAAGAATAAAAATGTTGCTGTTCAAAAGCTACGGTGACTATTATAAATTTTTTTTTTTTGAAAAATTACACCGTTGTTTTCTGGCAGCTACCGCAAATAGCCGTGTCTAATAGTAAAATACAATTTCCAACTGGAGTTTTTTGAGAATGCAGATAAAACACAGTTTTGTCAAAAAAAAAAAAAAACTGTGGCGCGATACTACCCCGACCCGTAAATTAATATGGTTAACCGAAGCCAAGAATTTAACTCGAGTTAACATATTGGGTCAAATTTTTGATATCATGAGAACATAAGCTGAGAGGAAAAGGCAAAGGGATATAATACAAAACATAGCCCAACTGCTCCGGATTTAAAAAATCTCGGGGTGGATATCTTGATATCTAAAGTATTCGGAAGATAAGGAATAATGCCAAGGGGGAAGGCAGGCGTTCAGTGTGGGGGCAACAATTGTTAGTATTTTGAAGATTATTAAAAAGGGGGAGGATAACCGTTTGTTTTATATGGCTTTGATTATCAACCACTCTTTCATTTGAATACAAGGGACAATGTAGTTTAAGAATTATTTTTTTTTTTTGGTTAATGGTCAACGTGTGCATGACAATATGTTGACTTTGAGACTTTGGCTTGGCTAATCTTCCTATCTATAAATTAAATTTTAGGAAGATTTTCATGGATACTAGACATTTATTATGTATTTATATTTCTAATCCTTGGAGTTTTAGGGAAAATATTTGCGTATGTAAGACGTACGCAGAGCTGCGTACGAAGGGAGTTTATTCAGAGGGCATAAGGGGGATATGTCCGTGTTATACCCCCCTTTAACCTCTTTGTAACATATCTGTAACCTACAAATAAGTTTCGCGCTTCTGTAGTTCCGGTAGTTACAGTTAAGTTACAGGGAGGTTACAGGAGGGCATAACACGGATATAACCCGCCTGTCCCCTCTGAATAACCTCCGACTACGTATGCAAATATTTTCCGAGTTGTAGATACTTACCATACAATTTTTATATATTTACATTCTAATACCTAAAATTTGATGTTTAAACTTTTACTATTTTGATGTCACAAATCTATGCATGAAAAGTAAAAGTTAATGATAGTGTTATTTTTTATGTTATGTTGGCATTAAAATATGAAGGTTTGATGGTTACTTATGTAAATATATATAAATGATGTGGTATGCATGTAAATCTCCTTTTATTTATCATATTTTGGTGTTATAAATATATTTTAATAAAAGTAATAATAATATTTTGGATCGTTCATAACTGATTCAAATTAATTAAATTAAAACTTTCAGGTTTCCGCAATATAAGTCTTTGTATGAAACCTAATTTCGCACTCTTTGTTTCTTCTCATCATTTTGGGCTTTAGAAATACTAGTCAAAATTAATTCTTAATAATGTGAACTTTATATCAGGCATAGTTTGATCAGCAATATATATATATATATATATATATATATATATAATTGCAAATTTACCCACAATATAGTGGTTGAGAATTTAATTTTTCACCATAAAGTCACAAATACAAATCAAGCATATTGCCCTTTTGGCTCAACTTTCTCGAAAAAATATATAA